GCTAAGCCCTCGAACAGAGTCAACATCACATCGTATGTGCTTCTGGTGAGGAGGGGTAGAATCGCCACTCCTATCAGTGAACAGAAGCTCACAATTGTGACGAACAGAAGACCGAACCCCCAGACGGCACCAGAATTGGGACGATTCAGGGCTTTGTAATGACTCTCTCGCTGTTCAATGCACTGGTGTTCTTGGAGTTGAAACAGTATTAATGGACACAATCTGACAATCGATTGACTTAATAGCAAAGGACCCGGTTTTACAAACGGACTGTCAATGAGTTGAATGAGTTGTTTGGCGGACTTGCATCCCGACGCCGCCTCACAGATACTCCGGAGCTTCGAGGTCGACGTATTGGTCGCCCATTTGCTTATCAATCTGTTATCTATATGATCACAACTTCTTATTGTCGTATCAATTGATGCCACGGATGACGAGTTAGTGATATGTTGAATGAGTTTATTGTCCTTCAAATTCTCGATGAATAATAATAGTTTGGATTCAATGTCACTGTCATTGTCTTCAAACGTCTCATCATTCAAATCAAAGCTTGTTTTATCTCTTCTCTGGTTATTGTTATGAAAGTAATTATATTTCCAAAGAAGAAAATAAGTCAATACTTCCACGTCTTCTAATGAGTTGAGCGTCACTTTCGGATCAATTGATACTTCATTGCAATCGACGCTTAAATAGATTGAACTCAACGCCAATAAACTTACAAATGGTTTCATTTTAATTGATCCCAAATGACAATACAATTAATACTGAAAACCACTGCCAATACGAGAACTTGCTGTCAATTATCTCTTCATTTCGTATTATTAGCTATGATTTGACAAACCTATTGACCAAACATTGCAAACAATTAATTATCACTCAATTCTTGTCAAACAAATCACATTTGAAAGCAAAACCAATGTTTAAGTGAAAATACAGTGAAAATACTGATAATTAAGACATTTTCATAAATTAAAGCCAAACCCTCTTATCTCTCAATAGATATGAAATCAGATTTAAGTCAAGTCTAGAGTTTAACATCAAATCAATACTCACTTCAAAGCAATTAGTGATCCATTGGTTGTCATTCACAGCAATCTATCACTCATTCATACATTCAGTTGTTATTCATTCAATGCTAACCAGTATTACAATTATCACTATATTATCACCAAATTATACAAATCTTTGTAAATTAGTTCATCTATTAGTGTATTATTTAATTATAATTAGTTTAACGTATTGTTAATGCATTGTGAAAGCACAAACAACCATGTCACTTTCTACTTACTCACCATCACAATGAATTCTTGACAAAATAGCATGCTCAGTTTAACTTTTAATAAATATAGCATAAGTTTACATAATAATCGAGTTAATTGCGAAGTAATTGAACAGGGATACAGTGAATGAAGTGACTGTGACTGTGATTGAAGTGCCAATTCACTGAATTTGTAGACAACATACAATTCAATCACATGTTTACCACATTATTATTCCCATCACAACAGTGAACAGTGTATCACATGTGAGGGCTCTCTCTCTCCAAATCATACGATTCTTTAACATAACGTAAGTTTTGCTCACAGAATGCCATTCATTCATTGCTGGGGCACTCAATGTAAGTGAGTTTGTCATGCATTTTATGAATTGCTCTCAAAGTGATGCCAATTCTGGTTTCATTATTCTTACAGTTTATAAA